ATTAGAGGTCCCAAACAGCTAACAGAAAAGTGCAATATTATTTGTTGAGAGTGGGATTTGAACCAACGACCTTTGGGACCAGAACCTTAATCTGGCGCCATTGACCAACTTGGTCATCTCAACATTTGGTTTGTTGATGTAGAGGAAAATCGGAATCTGTTGATCTAATTCGTATCTTGGCTGGGCAATCCAAAGGGCATGTGTTTGTTTCTAGAAGTTTCTTTTCCAAGCGTTACTACATGCAACTTTGATTGCAGCCATGGCGGATTTTGACAATTGAATTCCTTACTTTACAACAGAACTGTGCCTTTGTATTTATTATAGCATCTTACTTTCATTGTATTTTGAAAAATCTATCCAATTATAGCAATGGTGGTGGTGGTGGTGGTGTTTGTGTTGATATCAGTAGTATATTAATGGAAATTTGTTTACTTGTTGATGGCTGTGATGATTTGTCCTCTTGAGTAAAATTGAAAAACGGCATGGATGATTGGATTTTTATCTTGGCATGGCATTAATCCAGATGGCAGAGCGGGAGGAATTTGATTTTCCCACACTTTGTTACTGTGTATGTTTGCAGCCATATGGTGGAGACCCCATCTTCTTTGCTTTGAGACCCAATTACATATCTGAGCCTAATAATTTTCTTTGTTTTTCAAGACTATTTTCTCTTGAATTTAATGTGATTTTTTGTTCTTTGATTTTCAAGTTTTAAGGTCCACTGGATTTGTGGTTTTTAACTTATTATAAACGGCTCGGTTGATATATTGAACTAATGGGTGCGTAAGTGCTTGTAGTAATAACTGTAGCATTGTATTGCTCAATGCTTTTAATGTTTAAGTGTTATGTATTATATGAATCAACAAGTTTTGAGATTTATAATAACATTATGATTTTTTGTGTTTATTCTTGACAGACAAAAATATTTGATTTATGTTTTTGAAGATCTTGTCTTAATATGCTAGCAAATGAATGCATAACATGTTATCTGATATTTGTTGGGATCAACTTTTATAAATGAATTCATCTTTTATTTTGTTATTAGTATTGGTATTATGGTTTATTTGATGTATGTAAAAGAATCATTTAGCATCTACGAGCCTAAAATGTGTTAGAAATGTAAAAAAAAAAATCTTTACATGTAATAATACATACCTGTGATTATTGATAAAAACCACGAATCTGTAATTATTTCTGAATGTAAATATAAAACTCTTATTGTATGGAAAATATCGTAGTATTTAACTTTTGAGCTTACATGTTGTGTTGGTCAACGTTTTCTTTTTTATGATGAAACTGCAAGACTTGTGAAATAATTGTTTGTTTCGATTGAAATTGAAAGGACCTCTCATGCAATTCTCTATTTTTATTGATCCATCTTGTTTAGTTTGAGAACAATAAATGGAATGGGATGAATTATTAATTCATCTTCTTTAGTACAGATGAATAGTAATTTTTTTTTAAACGGCAAATATTATTAATAAAAATAAAAAACCCTCAATTAGTAAGTAACTATCAAGGGGAAGAAGACAAACAACAAAAACAGAATATAAAAGTTAGCAAATACAAAAAGGTGAAGATGACCATTCTGCCCATGAACAGATACCATATTTACCCCTACATTTAACCCACATATATAGAATTGATTTGATTTGCTCAACACCATACGAAGGACTAATGAACACTTGATTGAACATCCTGATTGAACATCCGATCGTTACAATATTTCCATAGATTCCAAATTAGACCATAGCAAATGGTATGGAATCGAGCTTTCATTTTAGGACTTCTCCCCCAATTTGCAGCAAATCTGAGTAGTTCGCCAATGCTATTGAATGATTGATTTTGTATGTCGCACCAGTTGAAGATTTTATCCCTCACATCTTTTGCAAACGGACACCTTACCAAAATATGATCAACATCTTCTTCTCCGTTTATGCATGCCCCACACATAGTAGTTTGTGTCTCAATGCCTCTAGCTCTCAGACCCGTCATTGAAGCAATCCTCTGTTGAATTGCTCGCCACAAGAAGCAGTTAACCTTGATTGGGACTTCCTTACTCCATTTGATTATGGGAATATTTTGAGTTATTCCAGATTGACCATCAACTTTCCACCTTAGATCACATACTTTGAAAGCTCCATCTTTATCCAAGGAGGACTCCCAAGTGTCAGCTCCATTGACCAGTTGTACTGAAGATAGATCGTTCCTAGCACCGAAGTGATCAGTGTCAATCTCCCACCAAATGACAAAGTCTTAGACTTCCAGGAGGACAGTTTGGCTGAAAATTTATCTATGATCGGTTTCCAATTTTTTATAAGATTCATATTTGCTCCCACAGGTACCCCAAGATACGTAAAGGGAAAGGAACCCACTGCACAACCGAGGATGCTGGCCCAATTCAAGGTTTCATTTGCAGATGCACCAATTCCAAATACTCTTGATTTGTGAAAATTTACCATTAATCCGGAAGCAGCATGAAAACACCTTAAGATCCGAGCCAAGTTTTTGAGATTGGATCTAGACCATTCACCCACAAACAATGCATCATCAGCGTAAAACATATGGGTGAGGATGGGCCCATTATTGGGTAATTGAACGTCGTTAAAGATCCCTTTGTCTCTAGCCTCCATCAAAGCCGCATTGAGTCCTTCCATTGCTATGATGAATAGGAACGGGGAAAGAGGATCACCTTGACGAACACCTTTTGAGATCTCGAACTCATCATTCGGAGAACCATTGATGATAACTGAGGCGCGAGAAGATTGTAAACATCCACGAATCCAAATCCTCCATTTATTCCCAAAACCCATTTGCTCGAGAATAGAATCAAGATGACTCCAGTTTATTGAGTCAAATGCTTTTTCAAAGTCCACCTTGAAAAACAGAATTTTCTTTTTCACTCTCATAGCCCATGAGTATAGCTTATTGACCACCAACAGACCATCAAGAATGTTCCTACCTTCAACATATGCAGACTAGACATCGCCAATGACCATGCCTATGACCGTTTTGAGTCGTATAGCTAAGATCTTCAAAATAATTTTGTACATACAATCAATGAGGCTAATAGGACGGAAGTCGGATAGAGAGGAAGGGTCTTTTACCTTCGGTACAAGTGATATGAATGACGAATTGCACCCCCTGGTAATGGTTGCAAATTTATCGAAGTGAAAAACAAAGTTCATCACATCACACTTCAGAGTATCCCAGTATGTTTTGATGAATTTAAACGTGAATCCATCAGGTCCAGGTGCTTTCTCACCACCACATGCCCATACTGCAGCTTTCACTTCATCAAGACTAAATGATGCTTCTAACTTAATAGCATCCATCATGGAGATTGATTTCAGGAACGGACTAGTGAACTTGGGCCTTGAAACGTGAGTCTCAGTGAATTTATTTTTGAAGAATCGTAGAGCTTCACCCTTGACTTCGGCCACAGAAGTAGCCCATCTTCCATTTACCATCAACCCATTGATCTTGTTCCTTCTGCTTTTTCCATTTATGTAGCCATGAAAGAATTTAGTGTTTTCGTCTCCCTCCACAGCCCATTTGACTCGAGATTTCTGTTTCAGTTCTAGAATCGCTAATTTTTCTAATTCAAGGATTCTTTGAAGTCCTTGACTGCGTGCCGCGAGCTCAGTCTCAGTTAGCTGTCTAGATTCCGCAAGCCTTTCGAGTTGTGCAACATCATCTTTGATTCGTAGTATTTCTTGATTTTCTGCCATATCTGACTGCTTCTTCTATTTTTTATCTCCCCCTTCATATACCTGAGTTTGGCAGCCAAATACGAGTCTGGACTACCATACCCAACAAAGCTTTCCTACGCCATATGGACTGTGTTATCAAATCCAGTCTTTAGTATCCATGAGTTGAATAGTTTAAATGGAGGTGGTCCAAAGGCAGTGTCATGGGATATCAGGGTTATCGGGCCGTGGTCTGACAATTCACGGGTATGTGCAGTGGCCACAATTGATGGAAAGGCATTAAGAAAGTTTGCACACGCGAGGAACCTGTCCAGTTTACTAAGTTTAGCACCTACTCTAGCCATAAATGTGAATTTCTCACCACCCATGCTAAAGTCTCTAAGCTCCGCGTCTAGAATGAATTTGTTGAAGGCGGATGCGCTCGCCGGGCAAAATATAGAGTTGAATCTTTCATCGCTCCTCCTAACTGCATTGAAGTCACCAAATAAAACCCAATTGCCTGGTTTTGATCTTTTAATAGAGATCAGCTTCCTTCATAAGATTTTTTGATCACCAATGTCATGTGGCCCATAAATATTAGCAAGAATCGTATCACCATTGATACCAATCCAAGTTCCAACGATAATGATAAACTGATTAGATTTTATTACTTCTTTTTTCTGAAAACAATTAATGTTCCATATTGAGACTAACCCTCCAGATCTCCCGTCTGAGTCAACACCTTCATAATGATAATCTTGATCTCCCCAACAAGCGGCTATGTCTAAGTTTTCATGATGAGTCAATTGTGTTTCTTGAAGCCCTATGAAATTAGATTTGTGAAAATTTCTTAGCTTTCTCACCCAGTTTACTTTTACATCCACCCCAATGCCTCTTACATTCAGGTACAAACAATTCATTGGATACATTGTTGCTCACCGGTAACTCCAAGCATCTCAGCAGGAATACTATTGCTCACATCAATTTGAAATCCGATTGCGGCCCCAATCTCTCTACTGTTTGCTCAATTTCATTTGAGTGGGAGCCCGATGTACTAGTTTCAGGCACGTCCATTGGTTTCGAGTTGGTTGAATTCGTGTTCAAGTTCAAGTCAATGCAAGCTGATGTGAGATTTTCTAGATTTAACCAAGGCCCAAAAGTGGGTTCAACGTTTGTATGTGTCCGACCCAAATTAAAATGGAACGAAGGGGTTTGATTTGTGCATAGGCGCACATTATCCCACTTACGTTTTTTAGATTTAGGACTACCACCAATTGGATCACAATCAAATGTGAATTCATCTTTATTAGCCTACTGAGATGTAAACGAGAATGTAGGAGTGCCATTATTTGTTGGGAATGGCCCAAAACATCCGAGAGGGACCAAGTTTTCAATTGACCCAAGGAGAGGATTTTTCTCAGGCCCAAAAGATGAATTAGGGTCCATAAGGGAAACGATGGGAGATATAGTTGACTGTGATGCAGGGGCTGTGAAATCGGGGATTTCAACTGACTCCAATGCTTTGGGAGAACCGACGACATTAACTGTAGGATCGATAGTAGCGCCCGACGGTTCATCAGCGTGAGAGTCGCCTACCGGCGCCGGTTTCGTTTTGCTGGAATTGGTCTGAGCTTCCATCGTTGGTTCCTTTGCCATGAACGCCTGAGTTGGATCAGGTCGGAATTCACCTTCTTCCGGTTCGTTTTCTTCTTCATCTATGGATGTTTCTGAAATCCCGTCATAATCTTCTTCCTCATCTTCTGATTCCTCTACCTTATCAAAGGGGGCGGGTTTGAATGGTGACCAATCATCCGTGTATTCAACCACACCTACTCTGTATTTCGTGTTACTGACTTCGATCATAACTTCTTCATTGATCCATGTTATTCTTGCTGTAAGGATCCCAACCTTCCCCATGGAATAGTCCCTTCTACTTAAGATTGAATCAAATGGATTTATAACCTTGCCGAACCTGCTTGCAATAAGTGAGAAATTCTCTTCATCCCAAAACTCCAATGGAACACCAATAATTTTCAGCCAAGCAATTCTTTCATATCGAACATCATGTTGATAAGCTCTCCCCAACCATTTGAACCAATCTTTCCATCTACTTTCATCTTCCATGAATTCTTTTGCACTTTTGGAGCACTTAAAGTCAATAACAATTCTTAAACCCCCTAGATATTTGGTTTCTTCCGATATTATTCCCAGGGCATGGAGTGTACCCATATGGTCAAGACTGTGGGCTTCACCAATTAGGACATATTTCTTTTTTAGCCATCCGCTCATACTAGTGTTAGCGTTTAGTGTGATAAAGGGGGTATAGTTACTCACTTGTTGATTTTTTTGTCCAGCCACGAATTGAGCAAATGTACAGTTGTTTCTAATACATGATTTGAGAGGAGAGATATCGTTCATTTTTGGATTCCTCCAGGTTCTGGCGCTTCGTTGGTGTTGGTTGACCTTTTCCTTTCTCTGATGCTTGGATATGTTAACCTCTAGTATCGTTTCTTTGCATTTGATACCTTGTAATCTTGTCTCGAGTACCTTGGCGTCTTCTACCCCCATGAATCTGATGAATGCATAGTTTTTCTTCCGATAATCTTTCTTCCACCCAAAATACACATCGACCACTTTTCCAAAACTTGAGAAGGGTCTCCGCAGCTCCTCTTTTTTGGTATCATCTGGAAATCCCGCCACAAAAAAGTTTGTGAGGGCATTGGATTGTTGTGTTCTGACATTTGCTTTCCTCCGGCGGACCTCCGTCCAATCGCCGGTGGGTCGGTGACCATCCATCTCCCTTTGTTTAGTCAACAATTACGATGTCATATGTTCTAAAAAAAGTGTTGTCTATTTACAGATGAATAGTAAATTACAATAACACCTACACAAAAGTAAATTTTATGGTACATGAAGCAAGAAATGGTACCACGGGACTTCTTTTGTTCAATGGCAATGTATAAAAATTAGAAAATAGGAGTTGTACAAGTAACAGGAAAATACAATATCAGCCTCACATCTCTTACTATAATTTCTTCTGTGATGTAATTCTCATGCAATTCTCTATATTTACTTTTATATTTTGTTTTATGAAATATCACAATTAAACTTGGAAAAAATGCAGGAAGTACCTCTCATGCAATTCTTTATATATACTTTTATATTTCGTTACACAAGGGTTTTTACGGACGTAGCAACAACAGCTCGACATAAAAAGCACTTATAGTTATAGACACGACAATATTAACAATATACACAGCCCAAGACATTGGTATATTTCTTCAATCTAATACTCCAATAGATATCATAAAAAAACACATCAACCATTTGCATAACAAGGAAGATTAGGAACTCAGGATAGGTACACTTTTTTCAAACTAAAAGAAGCATTAAGGGCTTTAGATATTAAAGTCTTTCCGTGTCAAATTTTGATGGGTTTGCCTGTGATGATTTTTGTTTTTGTTAATGTCCATCCTTTATCAAGTTTTTTTTCATAGTTTACAAATCTTTTACGTTTTTCTATGTTTTTCAAATTAAAAAAAAATTTAAATTTATAAATCTTTTATGTTTTTATTCCGATTATATTTTTTAAATTTGATATGAAAGTATTTAAATCTATCAAGTTTTGTCATTGAACCCTCTTTTAGAGAAATCAATTATGGAACATATTATGTGAAGAAATTTATGTTGTAATTTTCTTTTTTTTTTTACAACTTCAGTTTTACTTTGTTCTTCATAGTTTTTTTTATATATGTTTTTTTACAATATGTTTTTCTAACTTTGTATATTTATTCCGTTTTATAGGGTTTTTTCATATAGTATCATAACTCAATTATATTCATGGTAGTTGGTTTGATGATCATAGAAGACTTTGTAGAATATACGTTTTTACCTTTCATCGTAACTCACTTTTCTTTATTGTTCATTGTAGTTTATGTTTTCGATCTTATTGTTGGGGTGTAAACCCAATCCACATCGGTAATTCCTTTTATCATCAATTGGTTTTAGAAAATGAAACTTCATTGTTTTTCAATGTTGAACATGGTTAGACTAGTAACGGTCATAACACTTATTTTTGTTGGAAATGTTTTTTTCTCGATCTCATTGTGTAACAACCCAAAATTTGGAATGATTTGACTTTTAGTCAAATATTGACCAAAAGGGAATGTGACATCCCCATTTTCACGACCAGAAAAGACCGATTTTTGTTTATGTTTTATAAAAATCAGAGTACCTCTTTTAATAAAAATGTTGCGGAATTTGTTCCCAGTAAAACAT